TTTAATTTTTTTTATTTTTTATATTTGTCTAGTTGGGAATAATATAAATATATATATTTTTTTAACAAACAGGTAAAAAAATGTTTCAAAAGACAAAAAAATAACTAAGAACAAAATCACAAAAAACTTATTTCCAAACAACACCTACAAACTTGGAGAGAAAGTTGGTTGAGATTTGTCAAAAATAGCAAATGACTATTGGAGCATCATTGCTATAATTTGACAAAATAATACTATTCATTGTTAAATTATAGGCAATAATAAAATAGCAACAACCATTAAAGATGCTCTAAGAGAGAAAGAAAAGAGGCTCAAAAGCTAGAGGAGGAAAAAAAGAAAAAAAGAAGTCTAAAACAACGTCATGTTGGACCACTGCAGGAATCACAGAAATACGGACTCATGTCAGACGCCCCAACTTGATGGAATGCAAATCACCCATCCCCTTGTGGTACACTTATTGGTCTATAATGATGACATTTTTTTGCTATTATTTAGATTTGTCTATAATGATGACATGAATAACAATAATTAATTTTCAATACAGTAATAATACATTCCTTAATTCTGGTATTAAGGATACATCCCTTAATTTTGGTATTCTAATTGAACTCTAATAATGTGTTACGGAATTAAAAAAAAAAACAAAACATCACCATCACTGTAGCGCCCACGCACATAGAGCTCCCAATTTAGAGCTCCCAAACATTTTTTAAAAAAATATTAGGTTGTCATTATCTCTCGGGAAAGATTATAGACACACTCTTTAAAGGTTGTGTACTATATTTACTTTATAACTATAGAAGAAAATTACAAATTTTATATTATTTGAGTCATAATTAATAAAAAAAAATCATAATCAAATACAAAAAAGTCATAACTAAATATTTGAAAATAATATCATAATTAAAGAATAAAATTGATCATAATTAAAAAAAATGACGTAATTAAGTGTACACACAATATGCGGGGTCTATAATAAAATTCTCCTAATCTGTAATAGGTAACAAGTCTAAACAAAAGAGAATAAATTAATTGTTCGTTTGGCTTATCACATTTGGATTAAAATAGTTACAAAAAAATAAAATAGACTAAAAAATTAATAAGACAAAATGTCTCATTCAAACCATAATCATTTCATTTTTTTTTTCTTCATAAAAGTTAAAAAAATCAAAAAATTCATCTCAAACGAAATCTTTTAATCCCAGACTAAAATAACTAAAAAGTTAAAAAATTGAGAAAATAAACTGACATCTCAAATCAATCCTAAGAATGCTTTGTAAATACAATACTCAATTAAAACAATAAAAAACATTTATTTATTTATTTATTTATTTCCATGGAAGGAACGCCTGGTCTAATGCGGCGCCCTACGTAAGGTAGATGCGTTGGCAGTTGGTTCGTAGTTTGGAGCAAGGATCCTCTTCTTTGATTATTTCCTTGATTTCATACTTGATAGATTGTTGGGTCAATTTTTAGATTTAATTTTGATAATTTAAGCCGTTTACATTTTAAAATTTATTGACTATATCATACATGTAGAACATCATGTTGATTGAATATTGGAAATCACGTGTTTGGATCATCAAACAAAAAATCATTTATTAAAAAAAATTTAATAAACAGTTATTCGAACACGTGATTTTCGACATTCGATCGACTTGATTTTTTACAAGTATGATATATTCAAAAAATTTTAAAATGTAAACGGTTTGAATCATCTAAATTGGGCTCAAAAGTGAGCCCAATGACCCACCAAATAAAGAGCCAAGAAAAGAATCTAAAGAGAGGATCCTTGCTCATGCAAAAGAGCTGTGTGGGGATAAGAGCATCCTTATTAGTCTACCTAAATTTTACCTTAAAATATTATTAAAAAAATCATTTTCTATTTTAGGAATCACTTTTTTATCTACTTTCTCTAACAAACTCTCTATTCTTTTTCTATTATATAAAAATAATCTTTTTTAACTATATTTAAATTTGAATTTTTTTCAATAATAAAATAATTAAACAATATAAATTCAAGTAAAAAATAGAGGTTCAAAGACAGTGCTATGAAGTCAAGTAATTACAAAAGGAAGCAGCCAGGGGCCGGACGTCTCGGTGGACGACCGGTGAAGTAAGTTTTGCCTCATCTGGGACATTTAGGTGGATGACCCCTATCAGATATGAGAGAGTTACAGTGACTCCCTATAAATAAAGAGTGACTGTAGCAATCCTAAATTTAAGGGGTTGTATAAGGGATATGGTGGAGAAGAATTTTGGACGAATCAACTCCTTATAATAGCAAAAAGCTATTATAAGGGAATTGATAGGGATGCTCTAAGGTGTCATATCCGCGTTCAGGTCCACTCTTTGTATCTCTCTACTTGGCTCCTCATTTGGTAGGCCATTGACTCACTTTTGGGCCAAATTTTGCTAATCCGAACCGTTTATATTTTAAGATTTGTTGAGTATATCATACCTGTAAAAATCAAGTTGATAAGATATTGAAAAGCACATATTCGAATCATCAAACTAAGAATCGTTTATTAAAACTTTTAATAAAAATCACTTGTCGATTGGAAACCACCCCAAAATTGTTTATTTTTTACTAAAATTTTTACGTTGTTTTCAATATCTGATTGAATTAATTTTTTACACGCATAATATACTCGACAAATCTTAAAAAATCAAATAGACTAAAGAATTAATAAGATAAAATGTCATATTCAAATTATAATCAATTAATTTTTTCTGTCACAAAAGTCAAAAAAAATTTCACAAACAAAACTTTTCAATCTCAGAATAAAATAACTAAAGAATTAAAAAGTCAAAAAACGAACTCAGCTTCCAAATCAATCTTAAGAATGCTTTCTAAATATAATACTCAATTAAAACAATAAACAACTTTTTATTTATTTATTTATTTTTTTCCATGGAAGGAACGCTTTGTCTAATGCGGCTCCCTACGTAAGATAGATGAGTTGGCAGTTGGTTCGTAGTTTGGAGCAAGTATCCTCTCCTTTGATTTTTTTCTTGGCTTCTTATTTGGTGGATTATTAGACCTATTTTTTGGTTTAATTTTAATAATTCGAATCGTTTATATTTTAAAAATTTATTAAGTATATCATATTTGTAAAAAATTAGGTTGATTGAATATTGGAAACCGCGTGTTTGGATCATCAAACTAAAAATTGTTTATTAAAAAAAAATTAACAAACAGTTATCCGAACACGTGATTTTTGATATCTGATTGACTTGATTTTTTACTTTACAGGTATGATATATTCAAAAAATCTTAAAATGTAAACTGTATAGATTATCGAAATTGAGCTAAAAAGTGGACCCAATGACCTACCAAGTAAAGAGCCAAAGAAAGAATCTAAAGAGAATCCTTGCTCATACAAAAGAGTCTTGTGGGGATAAGGTGTCATATATGGATCTAGTGTCACTGCTGTGCATGAAGCACAACAGTGACTGTTGTGCGGCTTGTGGGACTCATTTCGGGTCCTATTTTGATGATCTGGACCTTTGAAATTTTAGAAAACATCGAGAGCAATATACCTATAATAAATTAAGTTGATCGGATATCAATATCTTCTTCATCAAATCACATCTTTTTATTAAAAAAATGAATAAATATGTATCAAACTAAATACAAATGTTGTTTGACGAAGAGGTTATTAATATCCGATCAACTTGATTTTTTACAGATATATTGTTCTTGATGTTTTTTAAAATTTTAATGGTTCGAATCATCAAAATAGGACTTAAAATGAGCCCCATGGGCCGCACAACAATCACTGCTATGTTTCATGCATAGCAGTGACACTGGATTCGTCATATTTGCGTTCTAGTCAACTGTTTGTATCTCTCTACTTAGCCGTCCAACATATTAATGAACACAAGTTTTTGTGGTTGCTATGGAGCACAAACTCCGAACCAACTGCCAACTAAGCAAGGATGCTCTCCAGTCACTCTCTACTATCCTTCCTCCTTGTAATGGTTCACTCTAAAAAAACATCTAACAATCCAGATCTCTCTATTAAAAAAATAAAAAAAGTTTTTTACGCGTCCGGATCCTCTAGAGTGATCTTGTGAAGTGATCCTCTAGAGTGATTTTTTATGGCGCGACACGTGTCCTATTAATGAAATCAATGGTTGAGATGATCTCTCGTCAAAACGACGTCGTTTTGGTGAAAATTTAATGTAGGATCTTAGCAAACATGGTGAACGAGCTTCCAGTAGATGAATTCCACAATTTCGAAACAAAAGAACCAAACCCAGATCTCAATTTGGGCTTCAAACCCTGTTGTTGGCCATTTGGGTCTTCATCAGACAATTAAGCGTGATAGGTTTAACAGAGGGAATTCATTTGGGTCTTCATGAGTTCGAGTTTTTATTTCAATTTTAATCTTCGAAATTGATCTTCGTTTTTTTGCTGTGTTGGGTTCATGTGGTTTCTCTGCAAATCCATCTTATTTCATTTTTCAATTTGTTTTTCATTTTTTATTTTTTGGGTGAAAAATGAGTTCGAATTTTTATTTCAATTTCAATCTTCGAAATCGATCTTCGTTTTTTTTGCTGTGTTGGGTTAATGGGTTTGATCATCTTTGTAAAATCTCTATATGTCCTTGAAGCTTCTTGAAGAATAGATTCAGGCAGCTTGGATCAAACTCTGCAAAAAATTTTCCTCAGCTCTCTCACTTCCTCCTCCCTCTCAATCTGCAAACTCTGCAATTTTTTTTTTTGGAGGGGGGAGAGGGGTCTAGCTCACCAAAACGATGTCATTTTGGTGAGGGATCATCTCAGCTATTAATTCTATTAATGGGACACGTATCGCGATTTCAGACGCATATCGCACTTAGAGGATCACTTCACAGGACCACTCGAGAGGATCCGGACGTGTTTTGCACGCCTCCCGCCCCTATCCACGTTCCCATCCTCCTTTTCCATTTCTCTAGGCTCCCTATATATATTTTTTGTTTTTCTAAAATATTTGTAACCTTTCAAAAGTTCAGAAGCCATATGGCCCCGGCAGTGGGGCAGGAGGGATCCTCCCAAGATTCAACAGCAGCAAGTTTGGCTTCTCAGCTTCTATCGGCAATCAAAAGCATTGGCCTTTGGGTCGTATCTTACTTTACTTATGGTCCTGCAAATCACAAGGATCATTATTCTGGTTCCAAAGTAGAGTTTGATGACGTTGAATCGGCAGGTGATGATCGTCTGACGAACTCACCGACAGCGATCTCAACAACTTCTTCACAAACCCATCCTTCTCACCCCATCTCAATTGCCTCCCAACAACCAGGCTTTAAATCTGAATCCCAAACCCAAACCCGCTTATCAAACCCAATAGCCAAAGCTTTTCATGAGCTAGAGATGGGCAAATTGTTTCTCACTTTCATACTGCCTACAACCACAATGATCTTGGCACTACACGGCAAAGATTCCTCCTCCGGAGTTTTGCATTCGATCTTGTGCTTACTTTGCACTTCCCTTGTCGCCTTGCTCTACGGAATATCGTTTCGTGACTTGTTTCCTGGGATTGCAAATACATTTGAACCATTGGGAACTGCATGTATTTATACATCATTTTTTTATAGTTGTTGCATCTCACCTTCCCTCGGCCATTTTTTGGATTCCCTTAATCTGTTTTATGGCTTCAATGCCACTATCTATCTGGAGCTGTTTACCTGTTAAAAAGAAGGCCAATACCAATACCAATACCAAAGGATTAATTCTTGAGACCCTCCAAAAATAGGGAGTCCGGATCCTCTGCCATGGTTTCCGGCAATGGTTGTTTTTGCTTGGATTTAAAACGACGTCATTTTTTTCCTTTATATAAATAAATAAATATATATATATTCATTTATACCCTTTTGCCCTTTTTCTTGTCTCTCAGTTGAGAAGCCTCACCCACCCAAGAGCAAGAACAGAGAGACGTTTGAGGGGGGCGACGACGGTGCACTCACATATCTCACTCCAAGAGGAGGGCGACGATGGCGCACTCACATATCTCACTCCAACTCCAACTCCAAGATCCCTAAATCTCCAATCCTCCATAGACGATCGAAGGGAAGAACAAAGCACCTGCAAACCAGGAAACCAGCAAACCAATCAAGCCGCCGTTGCGGCGTCCACCATTTTCGATTGGATTCTTCACTGGTAAGTTTGTTTTTTGTTTTGATTCATTCACTTCACTCCACCCCTCACATTTTTGTTTGATTTCCTTTTTTTAAAATTGGGATTTATAATGGAGGTTGATTACAATTTTAGTTATGATTTTCTAAAAAAATTGGGTTTTGTTATGATTCTCCTTTTAAAAAAAAGTAGGCTCTGTTTTGATTCACTTAAAAAAAAAATAGAAAAAAAATTGGATTTTGAGATCATCAATCAATTGTAAGCAAGAGATATAGATATGTATGAGATTCAACTCTAAGGGTGTGTTTGGTAACGTTTACGTTTTCAGTTTATATTTACAAAAATTTTATAAACTGATTTTTGTTTATTTTTTGTTTATTTTAGAAAAACATAAATTACAAACGCGTTTGGTAATTAACAAAATATTTAAAAAAAATTTAAAAATATAAAAAAGAGTGAGAAATGACAAGTAGTGGCAAGTGGAGGCGGAAGACGGTGGTGGAAAGTGGTGACGGTGGGTGGTGGGTAGCTAGTGGTGGCGAGTGGGTGACGGTGGCGGGTGGTAGGTGGTAGCGAGTGGGTGGTGGTGGCAGTGGCGACAGTGGTGGGTGGTAGTGGCGGATGGGTGGTAGGTGGCTGGTGGTGGTAGGTGGTGAATGGTGGTGGTAGGTGGGTGGTGAGTAGTGGTGGCGGGCGGTGGATAGTAGTGGCGGGTGGTGGGTGGTGACGGGTGGATGGCAGGTGGGTGGTGGGTGGTGGTGGTGGCGAGGGGTGGGTGGTGGTGGCGGGTGGTGGT